ATGGATCTGTATATATATATATATAGGGTTTCATTAGTTAAGTAATGTTTGCAATTTATCCTCAAGAAAAAATTTAAATAGAAACCCTAAAAATTTGAAGCTAACCAAATCGATTGAAGCTATATCACTCACTGATCAAGCCTTCTTGTTGTCGATTCACCCTAGATCCACACGATACTCATGCGGGAAGACCTTCCTTGTCATCGTCTCATAGCCATTTCCATTAATACGTCTGCTGGCAACCCTTCCGTATTGTTCACAAAGCATGAACCTATGATCGTTGGTTTTGCTAGCATTCGAGCACAAAATCTGCTTGAACTTGTTGCTCTTGTGAAATCAAGATGATATTCTCCTTCGCTCACCTATGGTTGTCGTTTGAATTCGTTTGACTTCATGCATATGGAATTTTCTACTCTCTCGTCTGCCTCGCTCGAGCATTAACGTCAATCAGCCTATCAACATCACTCGCTCAACTGCATCGATCAGCCCAACAACAACATTAGCACAATTGTTTCTACTTGCAATCGCCATGAATCCCTTTGACTTCCACATATTCGAAATATTGTATGGGAGCTGCTCCTATTGAATAGGTTTCATTAGCTTACTTATATCCCCCATCGCTTTGTTCGCCTCAAATTCTAAATCTTACCTTTCGTCTACATCTCCTTAGTCGGTTCTTTTTTCATCTTCTTTTTTTTTTTTTAATTATGAGGTATTACAAAAGGAACCTCAACTGTCAAATAATAAACTCCATCAACTTCAACACATATTACCAATCAGTGTTCTTCTAACGATACATTGAATAAATATAATGAGATGAAAAAAAAGCTAAAAGAAGCTTGTTTTAAAGTTTTTGTAAGATGATAAATAGAAAAAAATTTGACAAAAAATTTGTAAATATATAAAATATCCACCAGGGATAAGCCTTTGGGAAAATGGAAAGAGCTTTCAGTAAACAAAAGATAGAAAACCATCAATACTAATGCAAGTGATAGAGAAGAAATGTCATAAAAAAAACACCTCGATTACCAGTCATATGTGAAGCAATAATGCTAAACTCCAATATTAGAAAAATAAAATGCTGCAAAATAATAGAAAATTGCATGTGAAGTAGTTTGAAAGTGTTGAACTAGATAATCATAATCCTCCTACGAATAAGTACCAAAACTTAGTGGGAATAGAAGTTTGCAGTCACAAGGGTCGAGAGTTATGCAGGGAAGTGCAAAGATGGCTGAATTCGGCCCAAAAAAGCTTTGGAAGATGAGCATGACCATAATGAGTGCATGGGATAAAAGTCTTCCCCCCATCGCCATGACCACGTCTAACCATCATGACCACAGCCATGACTCTCTGTCCATCAGTATGCCCAATAGAAAGAATGGATTGGTCGAAATCAAAGGGGGGCTCGAAAATCGAATGGAAAGTCGAAAGCTCAGTTAACATAAAGAATCCATTAAAAAGCATTGAAAATATCAGGGAGAGTAAAATTTGTCATTTGCCAAGATTGTGCATGTTAACTAAAGGTTGAATTACCAAGAGCAAATTGACAATAACAAACTCGTCATTCTATTTATGCTAAACAGAAAAATCTACGGTAAACGGTTTATGATGTAGAAGCTCATCCTCTTTATCCACAAGTATTGTAGTATTCCTAAAGGGGTAAATCATATTATTTGAGTGAAACTCAAAGTAGATTGTGTATCAACAAGAGAAATTACTCTCCTAAAATTAAGATAAATAAAAAAGTGCATCTTCTGAACAGTGTCTTGAATTATGCTAAGGCTATAAATGCTCATAATTATTGAGAAATTAAGTAACAATGGCATAACTAGCTATTTGCCACATTTAACTTGACAGCATCATCATGATTCAAGAAACAAATATCAAGATAAAGTAGATTGTCGTAAGAATCCATAAGGATAAAAGAGGCCCTCAACCATGACACAGGTAGCTACCAATGAATTTGATGTTGATACTGATGGTGTAGCATGATATTGAATCATTGTGCAAAAACTGAAAACGCATAACACTACTGAAAAAGTATGAGTAAGAGAATTGGAGGGTTCAACTAAAAAATAAAAAATGACAATAAAAATTCTCCAGCAAGAGACCTCTCTCATTTTCCAATATTCATCTCTAAAAAATATTCTTCTTAAATTTCAATAAACTACCTCAAAATCTAATTAAGACGCTAGAAACTAAAAATTGGAAGGGTGTCATAAGAAAATGGATGGATGTTTTCGAACAAAATCATACTCAGGACATCGTTGAGCTGCCAAAATGGAAGAAAACTGTAAGATGCGAATGAATCTTTTCATTAAAATAGAAAACAAATAAAAAAATGAAGCGGTAAAAAACACAATTAGTTGCCAAAGGATGGACTCAATCCTATGAAATTAACTATCAAAAGATATTTGCTCTTGTTGTATAAATAAATACAATTCACATTTTATTTTCTCGTCACTAACCTTGGATGGCCCATGCAACGAAAAGTGGAAAATGTTTTCTTACATGAGAACGTTGAAGAAAATGGTTATATGGATCTGTCATCTAATTTGATAGCTCTATCATAAAAAAAATAAGGGTTGCAAATTGAGAAAGACATTTTATGATCTCAAACAATAATCGTGAGCATGATTTGGCATATTTGCAAAAGCCTATATGAAATGTGATACAAATAAAGTTAAGAAGATCATTCCTCTTCATAAAATACTGCTTTGATGGAAAAATTAAAATTTTCATTGATATGCTAATGTATAATTATTACGGAAGCTGACAATAAATCATGGAATCCCTTGGACAAAAAAAATTTGATAAAGAATTTGAAATCAAGAAACTAACCAAACTCATATTTCCTGAGTATATTAATTGCTCGATTAGGCAAAAAAAAACTTTAGCCGCCAACTAAAATATATTATGGACCTATTAAACTAAATAAAAATAACTGATTGTAAACCATGTGAAACTCCAATTAAAATAAATCAAGAACTAGACACGGATGAAGAAGAAATAGAAATAGAAATAGAAATTGAGCAACATAAAAAATTGTTTGAGAAACTAATTTATCTATCAAAGACACACCTTGACATCGTTTTTGTCGGAAGTCCCATAAGTTTTATACATAAACCTAAAAAATTTTAGCTTCAAGATGCTTATGGAGTTCATATGTACCTTAAATCAAATCCAGAAAAGAGAATTCTCTAACAAAAAATATAATATCCTACAACTTAAGGGCTATACTTATGTTGACTATGCAAGGTCAATAATAGGTAGAAGATCCACTTCATGATAGTGCAAACTTCTAGAAAGAAATCTTCTAACATGGAGCAGCAAAAAATAACATATCATTTCAATAAATAACAATGAATCCAAATTCAAGCAATTGCTCAAGGGATTTGTGAACAATGAATTAGAATCATTTTAAGAGATTTAAAAATCAGAAGCAAGATCCTATAAAAATATATTTTGATAATAAATTTGCCATCAACATTAATCAGAATTTTGAACAGTTTGATTGAACCAAATATGTGAAAGTGTAGAAAAACTAAAGGTGAATTGTTTTATACACGATATATCCCAATGTAAAGATAGCTTGTAAACATAGTCATCAGAAAGCTCAGAAACTACACATTTAACAACATTATAAACAAACTTAAAATGATATATCTCTATAATCAAATTTAAAGGAGAGTGTTAAAGATTCATCAGATCAAGAAGAGCTAATGGTGATTACAATCTCTTATTTGAGATTGCCATTGAGTTTGGTCACAATATAACCTGAAATCTGAATACTTCTGAAAAGAGTTTTAAGTGCAAAATACTGCTGAAACATTTTACTATGCCAGAGCCCTCCTGCTGCAACGGGCAAGTGGGACTCTGAAATAAATACATCTTAAACATTTTAATTTGTAAAAATTATAGGTCAAAATGATTATTCCACTTACCCTTGGAAAATAGAAGGGCCGGTCTGAAAAACACTAGCCGAGACTAATGTTCCAGTCCCAGCTTCAGAAAAACCTCCTAATGAAGCTTTGCCTCTTTCATTAGGTATTACTGAGGAAGTTCCAGAACCATCAGAGCCATGAAAGGCTGTGAAACCATTCACTGAGTCAGATCTGATCGCTTCTCCAGAACTAAATGTTACCAACTCCTCACCATCATCTAAAACAGATTCATCTAAAAGCAATAGCATGAACAAAACCACAAATAAAAATTTGTTTGACATTTTAAAATCAGCCATTCAGGGAAATCATAAGACTCGACTAAATAAACATTCAAACTCAATTAAATCCAAAAATTTCTTCCATGAAAGAGTAGGTTTAACCACGATAAGAAAGTAAAATGAGGCAAAGTTAACGTTGTAATACTTAGGGTCTAGCTGGAGTGGGGGCAGGGTTGCAGTTAAATGAGATAATGGAAAAGATGGCAGCATTGAACGGGCAGTGTCAAACTTACCAGGAGACCCACCAAAGCAGCGAGTTAAGTATGAAGTCGTCTGAGTCAGATAAGAAGCAGCATCACGAAGGGCCGGAAAGGAAGTGAATATATCAGAATTGTACTCACTGTTACCCGAATGATTGCCACGAACCTGAAGTGGAGAAAAATTACTGTACCATCAGGCATTGTTTCTTTCATGTTTTTAAATACTCATAAATAGAAAACCAAGAAAAAACAAATCAAAAACAAATTAAAAGGTATTTACAGCTTTAGTAAAAAAAAACAGAGTCCTGGCCCTAAGAAAAAGTTAGTGCTTCAACTTGTTTTGGGACAAAAGGTTGCACATCATTATTCTATTTTTTAAGACACCCAATTTGTTTGAAAAAAAATGAATAATATGAAAATACAATAAAAATGAAAACAAACCAATAATTTCTTATTTATTAAGGAAATAAGAAATGCATCAAAATCACAAAAAAAAGTAAAAAAATGGCAAGTACATACTATCTAAGGGGCTGTTTGGGGCAACTATTGATTATTTATAATTTGTTGATAAGCAGATTATTCAGATAATCTGAGATAATCTGATAATCTGATCTGATAATCTGAAGATTATCAGAATAAGCTGGCTTGTTGTTTGGGACAGCTTATTCAGAATAGTTTATTGGTAGTTATGATTGTACAAATGACCTTCCTGCCCGTCTGGTAAAACTATTTGGCGCAGCTTATTGGTAGTACAGAAGCATATAGTGCAGAAGCATAAAATCATCACAGATCAGATCCAAAAGAAGACATACAGTTCTCACACTCTCGTGAGTATCAGAAAAAATAAAAAAAGGAAAAAGACAAGTACAACTACAAAGAGAAATATTAAAATATTCAATTTCAAACTCTGGCTACGTCTGTCCTCAGCTGCACTAACCCGGGAAAATATCGGATTCTCATCACTGCTGGCAGTGTAACAAGTGGGACTGTAGACCCATCAGAAGAAACCTCAATGAGCTGAAACACACTTGCGACAATCGTAGAGCTGTCTCCCACTGCTATGAAACTGACGTGACATGAGTAACGGAGCCGATAGTCCACAGTAACACAAAACAACTATGTCTGTCGCTGAAATTCTAGAAGTCATGTTGGTATAACTGCAAAAAACAACAAAAAATTGAATGTCAGGTCCTAAGAAAAAGCATAAAAAAATATGCATTAAAATGAATCTATAATGTACTAAGAAAAGAAAGACTTGGTGGATTAGTTGTCATAGATAGCATCTGCTATAAACTCCCTTAGGGCAGTCATCTTAGTCACACCCGCCGCGTCATGAACTTCAAATTTATTACAGTCATTCTCATCCACAAGAACTGAAGTCCCGATCAAAAATTCGGATGGTTCTTCATAGACATTCAGCTCATCGTTATCAGGCATACTAAAGTCCGTATCTGAACGTAAAGAATGTCGTCGGATGAAGTTATGAAGTTTCATTGTTGCTACCACAATATGCATCTGCTTTTGAAATGGATATGACGGCATATCACATAGGATGACCCATTTCTTCTTCCAATTACCCCTTATAAAGAGGAGTGACGTTTGTTAAACATTTTTTCCTACCACAAATGGTGTCACTTGCTCGCTCAGAATCAGGAATATGGTACCTAGTATCTGGAAATGACTTCAGATAGCCCCTCTGCATAGGGTATCCAGCATCAACCAAATAGTATTCCCTGTCATGGAAGACATTGTTATTTGCATTAAATACATATAGCTTAGAGTTTTATAAATCAAAACATACATAAAGGCGAATGAAGAAAACCCTGTGATCTATTCCTAGTAGCATAGAAGAAAATTCGATCATCATATGCACTCTCTTTCCAGCCCGCCATAACATACGTGAAACACATGTTGAAGTCACATGCTGTCATGACATTTTGAGTGGTTGAACCACTTCGACCAATGTAAGTCACTTTGTTTTGGCTAGGTAGTCGGGCATCAACGTGAGTACCGTCAATTGCACTTATGCAGTCCTGCTTTACATGGTTAGAAAATATTTATATTTTGGTTTATACACAAAGAAAACAATAGTTACCTTAAAGTAAGGCATGTAACAGGGATCGGTTGCGATTTGTCCTGGAGTATTAGCAAATGATGGATTATCTGGCCTGATGATTTTAGCAACTAAGCTAACAAGTGTCTGTCTACCTTTGGAGAAATAATGGCTTATTGTCTCCGATGAATGTTGAAATCTCACCATAGCACCTCTAATTGATTCATTTTGTGACAGAATATATAGCGTTAGGCAATACCTCCCTTCTCGTCATTCTCGAAGAACCTTGGAGTTTGTGATTTAGGGATAACTCTTGTAGGAGATCCATAAATATCAGTACAGTCATTCGAAAAATGTTGTTGAACCTAATTGGATGTCTAAAAAGCATCTCACATAACCATTTATCCCCAACAAAGCTGGAGGTCATACGGGGTATACGAATACTATTTGATCGGTAATACTCTAACAATAATATGGCAATAGCTGCAGCCCATGCCATTCTCTTACAACGTTTATGTTGCAGATCCATCCTAAAGAAAGAAAGATGTAGGTTAGTTCAGTAATTACTAACTAATAGAGCGAACGAAAAATAAATAATGAGAACACTCAGCCAATTACAATAAAGACGTATAGAGCTCTACTAAAAGACATTCAAAAAATTATGTAAAAGTATAGTTTAAAAAAAAAACATAACTCCAAATAGCAAATGAGTACATAATTTCAAAGAATTCATAATACAACAAAAGAAAACATAGAAAAACTCATTCATCCACAAGAACACGCAAATACTAGATGCACAACTCTGGTTCCATCGCCATGAATATTTGTCTACGTGTTGGATCCTCTAACTTTTTCGTACATACTGCATGAAAGCGCCTGTCCACAACTAATTCAGGGATAGTAGGCAAAGTTCAAAGACAATCAAAGATAGTGTTGTCAGAAAGTGGAGCAAGCGGTGGAGCTCCAAAAGCATCTATGAGTTGGTCAAATGAAGTTTTCACAAAAATGTCATTTTTCTTTCTTCCTTCTTCCAAGCCTGAGTCTCTTCGACTGCGAGCTTGACTCTCCCAACTCCCTCTGGTTAACACTATGTATTTCTTCGTCAACTGCCACTGGCTCTGGTGGGAAGTCATCTGGTTTTCCTGCAAACCCCGTCTCACTAGGGCTGAATGCATGTTTTCCCGTTGTCACAACTCCCTTGAACATTATGTCAAGTTTATCTTCAAAATCTGGCTATATTCCGCTCTGCTTGTATTTTTTCGCTGTCGGCATTGCCTGTAACATTACATTGAGGGGGTTTAGGGGGATAATTGGTTAAATCAAAAATATTTGCAATAAACAAAATAATAATGTCTATTTTACCTCTAATTTCTCGGCCACCATTCATCTGGAGCATCAATTGTCAGTTTAATGGGATCCCAGCCCAACCTCGTGGATCCATGTTTCAGCTCCTAAATTTTTCACTCTTTCTTCAATTAATCTCATTTATTTTTAAACTTCAACCTATCATAATCTCTTCCAGTCAGTTCTTTAAATCTTTTAGTTATATTTTGTCCACCTTCCTTGTTAAAATAGGTGGTTGGTCTATTCCCGATCTGAATCTCGGTGATATAGAGGTTACAGAAAATATTTGTAACTTCCTTATCCCACATCGCTGACGGATCACCTTCATTTGTCTCAACCATGGTGAAACTATATGAAGAATTGCATATGCATAAAGAAATTCATATTGTAACTCAATATGCATAAGAAAATTGGAGAAGAAATAATTGCAGAAGCACAAAGCTAATTATGTACATACTTTCAAAGGATTTGCTCATAGCTATGAATCTCAAACATTTTTTTGTCACCAATACCAACAATAGTGTCCAAATAACAATGCAATTTTCACGGTGTAGCAATTTGCTCATAATATATATATATAATGACATGACACATAAGAATTATGTGGTTCGGTTAAAGACGTACATCCACAATAAGGCATCGAACATGTTTTATTATGCAATTGTGTAAGGTTACATAGCTATGAATCTCAAGGAAGAAAAGTACAACATGCTCTCAGCTACCCCAATGTGCTAATAAAACTACAACTAACAAATAAAAGTAGCTCAACTTAAACCAATGTCGAGCATATTCATGGATGCTAATTTAGCAAGCCAGTTTTTTCTCTTTATATTTTTGATTTCACAACATTCAATGAAAGAGATATTCATGAAGCTGTTACAGGCTTCATCCTGTTGCTGTACCAAAAAGAAATGTTGCAATGTCGTGCTATTAGAGGCTTCATCCTGTTATTGTACCAAAAAGAAATGTTGTAGTGTTTTTGGAAGGTTTTTTAGATTCAGGGACTAGGATCTAGTCTTGTCGTTTCAAATATGATATAAAAATAGCTAATGCATTCTTCTGATCCTCATTTTGACAGCTATAAAAGTGTCAAAAATGATTGTATAAATGAAGATGATCTTTTTCCTTGCTACTGCTATATTACTTAATACTTTTCCAAATTCAATTAAGGGCAAGTACAAACATACCACCCAAACCTTTCATATAACAACAAGAATGCCACCTTTTGAACCTTTAAAAATAGAAAATGCACCTTTCCATTTTATCCAAAAAGTTTAGTAGCATGATTAGAAATAACTACTAAAAACTGCAATAGGCTAAGCTAGCCGGCTAAGCTAGCCAATTTATCGGTACAAGTACACAAGTGGCCATTTTTTACACTGACATTTAAGATGATTCTTTTGAAACCAAAATGGTTGTTTCAACAACCCAAAAAACCTTAAAAAACTAATGTAAACCATCACCACTGCACTGGAACACAGATCCAATGCATTTATGGCACTGTACAACCAAAATGATTGTTTCAAGACCCCAAAAAACCTTAAACAACAGTGTCCAAATAGTCACGAGACAACTTTCAAAGGATTTGCTCATCTGTCATACTTGCGATATTACCAGAAAAAAAAAGAAGTCGAAAGTGCACTGGAACAAGGATCCAATGCATTCCAAAATAATCTAGCAAAGACATCATCAAGAAAACCCAAAACCATCAACCGAATCTTACAAAAAAAATGAGAAATACAATTGAATCGATGTTCGCGAGAGAGAAG